TAATAAAGAAAATCAAATAAATCATGAGATGCTCAAATTTTTGCATCATACTTCGCGAAGTCATTACACTTCCATCTCTGAAGGCAGATAGAGATTTCCAACTATCCAAGTGAAATGACCAGATTATATACAGATACGGCAATTTGGTTAGGCACATTTTCGGCTGGCCAAACCATGGTATGATCTATGACCGCACCCGTACCAACCATAGTGGCCCTATCAGATATCTATAGTTACGATAGTACTTAGCCAAGGGTGACCCCTAATAGATATTTGTATTGCCACTCTCATCGGAGGGTATACTGTTATCCACTAGGAGTGGTCCTCTTACATCTTTTAAGACCAGATGGGGGAGGAGAAAACAGATACTCCTCAGAGATAAGAAGGCTAACGAGACACTTGATACATTATGCATGTTAATATAGATTCATACTTTGCATAATTCATGCTTCATTTCACTTTTTTTTTTTGTTTCTTTTATTTTTTCAGGTAACAATACTGACTTTATATTATTTTTTATTACATGCAAATCATCAAATGTCTATAAATCACATAGCATGCTTGAAAATAAGAACAATTTGGCTTAACTTAACTATAATATAATAGCACACAAAACAGAAAAATTCACAATCATCATGTTTAATAATTTTAGTTTATCTAAAAATACTCCTTAAGACGTCGAAAGAAATACTAAATTCCTTACCGAAATCTTGATATTTTTCTCCTACATCATTCTTCTTTTCTTTCCTACCTTCTCTCACTAGATCACTTTCTCTCTTTTTCTCTTTCTCTAAGTCTTAAAAAATGGAAGAATAGAAGTGTGAGGAAAAATAGGATGAGAAGACATATTTATAGAAATTTAGAACCGTCGAATTTGCGCCAAGTGGCAAAATCTAGTGAAGAAAGAAGAGACAAATATTTTCGACACAAAAAATAAGGGAGGAGGGCCTCCTCCGCTGGCGATGGTAGCACGCCACTTGAGGCACGATGGTGCACTGCCCAAGGTGGCAATGGCCCGATCAGCACACTGCTGGCTAGCCTGCAGTCACACAGGCCACTTGCCACATGCATAGGGACTAGATTGCACACGCGCAGGGCCTAGGTGTGTTGGACACCTTGTGAGTAGGACTACTACGTGCCGGCCTTAGATGCACAGGGCCTATTTGCGTAGGCCTACTGTGCGGACAGTGCTCACACAATGTGAGGCGCCTGTCCACGCGCGAGGTGACGCGTGGACGACCTACCTGTGTTCGACAAGACGCACGCTGGACCCGGCCTCGCGTTGTGTGCGCAGATGGGATGTGCACGCTATGCCCACGTCCCGTGGGTGTGCGCATGCACAATGCACGACATCCCTTGAGGGCGACTCTGCTCCCTCACGGGTTTTCTCCTATTTTGCCATTTTTCAAAATTTTCCAAATTTTCTAAATTAAATTAAATAAAATTTAATGCAATTTGATAAAATTAAATAATAATAATTAAAATTAAATAAAATTAAATAAAAATAAAATAACTAAAAATCAACCAGATTCACGAATTACGATAAATAATATGCGGAGTAAATTAAATGAGTTTAATGCAGCCAAAGGCCCGAATAAATAGGGTTTTTCCAAATTAATTAGGCACAACGATGGGCAGGGTGTTACACACCTTCTCTTTTCAACTTTTTTCTATAATTATTTTAGAAAATTATCACTGGATTCATGTTATTTAATTTACATGCAAATCATCAAGTGCCTATGAAATCACGTAAGATGCTTGAAAAAAAGAACAAATCACTTATTAAACATAAAATATGCAAAACACAAAACACAAAACTTCATAGTTTGATTTTCTAGAAATACTCCATAAAATGTTTAAGAAAATACTAAAATTCTTACTAAAATCTTGAAGTTTTTCTATACCTTTCTTAGTATTCAAAAATCCAATCTCTCTAGATCACTCCCTCTCTCTCTAAGCTCAGGAGGATGGAAGAATGAAGTGGAAGTGATGAGAAAAAATAGAGGAAAGGGTCCCTATTTATAGAAAATAGGGGTCATTGGATTTGTACTAAGTAGAAAAATCCAATGAGGAAAAAGAGAGTTGAGTGGAAGAGGAATGATTTGACACGACACGACAGCGGTGCAAAAAATAGCGGAAGAATTCCTCCACCGGTGATGGCTCTCCACCCAAAGTGACACCGACCAAGGCAGCGCATGGCGCCCAAGGGGGCGGTGGCACACTGCCCGAGGTAGTAGTGAGCCTCTACTAGGTTGGTCGCGCACTACATGCCTAGCTTGCAGGCGCTGGCCTACCTTGCCATGCGTAGGAGGTAGATTGCGCACGCGCAGGGCCTACAACACACAAGGCACTGCGTGTAGGCCTTCTACACGCATGGTCAAAAGCGTTGGTTTATTCGCGCAGGCTTACTGCATAGACAACGTGTGCACAAGTGCGGTGCGTGGCCCTGTCTGCACGCGATGTGCATGGACTGGCCTATCTGTGCCCGACGTGATATGCGCATAGACCGGCACTATGCCCCGTGCGGATGGGACGTGCACATAAAATCAAATAAAATTTAGAATAAAATAAAAAAAAGATAAAATAATGAAATCTGGATAATTTAAAATTATGAATTTAAATCATGAATTACGATATAAAGCTTACAAGATAAATTTACATGAGTTCAGGTGTCCTTCAGGCCCGAATAAAAGGGGGTTTCCAGATACAAATTTAGTGCGATGGTGGATGGGGTGTTACAAACTTAGAAAGGGAACTTATGTATTAAAATTATGCAAATTTTGTTGAGAGTATAAGAACTAATAGTCTATTTGTTATTTTGTAACATTCTTTTTATATTTTCATCTTACTAACAATTGCAATAAATGAATATAATTTCAAAATTATCAAGTTGAATAGAGGAACATGGGGGAAATGCTTGCTTTTAAGTGTTTATTTTCAGTTTTTTGCTTGAGGACAAGCAAAAATTTAAGTTTGGGGGTATTTGATGTGTTAGATATTTATTATATTTTTATATCATTTTTTATTAAATTTGGAAGAAATTTTGAATGAATTTTTGAGTTAAAAAAACCAATTTATGAGTTCAATTTTTATGTAGGTTGTTGTGTTGAAGAAAGGAAGAAAAAAAGCTAAAAAAAAAAAAGAATAAGAAGAAGTTAAAAACCCATATCAGTGAAGCTCAAAGCTAGATCTACAATAGCCTAGCACTAAGACTCAAAACGATGCCATTTTGATAGCTAAAAACCAAAGGCCATCAATTATTAAAATGGTGCAATTTTTAAGAAGTGAAAAAAAAAATTATAGTAGGAAAGTTGGAGGCATGTGAAAGAAAGAGACCTAACTTTCGTCGCCTAAGAAAAAAAAGAAGAGTAGTGACAGAAGAGAAGGAGAGCTTAATGGAAGACCAAGAGATGCGAACTGGTGTAGATCCGACACGAAAGCGATAGAAACGTAGCTACGAGCTTAGGACCGAACGAAGAGCTTGGGGGAGACTTAGAGAAGAAGCAGAAAAACAAAAAGCTCAAAGAGAAGGAAGCTGGTGGAGTGGACTTGCAGAAGTAGACATAGAAGCTGAGTGTAGAAGGAGACTTGGAACCAAGCAGAAGGGAGAGAAGCTGAAAAAGAATCAAGTAGTTTATTTATCTAATTTTTAATTAGCATATTTTTGGGATAGAAATTTTCAGGGATTATTTTTATGAAATTGAAATGCTAGTGTTTGAATTTTTTATAAATTTAATCTTGATTATTATATGATTATATTTTTTTCAAATATAACTGTTGTTATTAAATCCACTATGTCCGACTAAATTTTCTTCGCTAGAGTGATTAATGTAGTCTGAATCAAAGAAATTATTTAAGAATTACTTTTTAGCTTTCTTCTAGTTGCAATTTAGTAGTATTAAAATTAATTAGGTTATGAGAATTGGCTAGCTTATAGCTCTATTTATGATTGATGATTTTAGAGTAATATGAGTAAAATTCTATCAATTAGACATGTATTATTAGACATTAATAGAGACTTGAATGGGAGTAATATAGTCAAATTAACGTGGAGTAATCAAATTATCACAAATTTAATTGGATTAAATTAATAATTGGTATAAAAGATTAGCAATTTTTAATTGATAGACTAAGAAAATACTGGGAAGTAAATTGAAAGTACATTAGGAGAGTTCAACCATTGTAGACTAGATTAAATTCATCGCAAAAATTAAAATATGAACATACCCAAGATTCTGATGAAATTAATTACTCTGGTGCATTTTCGTTGATAAGTTTTCTTCAATTTAATTATCCTACTTCGATTAAATTATTTTAATTTTTTTCTTTCATAAATTTAATTTTGATTTCTATATAATGTTAGAATTTCTTCAATTTTGGTATTTGATACACAATCCATGTGGGACGATACTCTATTCATCACTTTATTACTTGAACAATTTCGTGCACTTGCGAATTCACCCATCAAGTTTTAAGTGACGTTACCGGTGGTTGTTAGTATTAATATCAATACCAAGGGAGTCTATTATTAATCTAGAGTTTTGTTTATTTTTTATTTTTACTTTTTTCTTTTTAATTCAAGTGTAATTTTTTATTTTATTTATTTTCTTGTTTTATTAGTTTACTTGCATTTTAGTTTTTATTTTTATATTATTTTTATTATTTATTTATTTATTATTTTTAACTTAAGCTCAATATTTTTATTTGGTTATTTATTTTATTTTTATATATTTTTTTGTGAGCATATTATGTGTGACATCTCGCTACTTTATGGGTAATGGAGCTTGATAATAGAATAGATATGAGTGCAAAATAAATTATGCAGCGGAAGAAAAATCATCCCTTACAAAATATTTTATGTTCAAATACACAAGAGGCCAAGAAGGTGGCTGATAAAAATATACAAAGCATTGTTCGAGCCACTTCTTTCATTATAAAAGGAATAGTTTATCATAGTACAGTTATCCAAATGCACTCAAAAGTCCACTACAGATGCGTTAATGGATCTAAGCAAGCTTTATGGGGTAGCTCGGGAAGCGATTCCTTACTATCATCATTGTCTAAGAGAAATGGATTGGGATGAGTTCTATGAAACTCAGTAAGGGAAATAATATTCAAACTACACTACTAAAGTTTCAAAGGTTATTTATTTTCAAAATATGCCACTATCTTATAAATAAGTGACTTACCTCTTGGGCTCATCGCAGAAGATATTCATTTGAAATATTGAGAAAACATTTACTTTTCCTTTAAATTAAATCAGAAATATCTGTTTTAAAGTCATAGTTATAAGAAGTAGAGATAGAGCAATGCAACATAAAAGAGTCAGTGATGCAATGGGGTAATATCACATAAACTAGTTAAACTAATTAAACATGGCATGACATGACGAAACAATGAGTAACAGAATGGAAGCCAGTTGAACCAACTAAGAGCCTGTTTTGATGATAGTTCAGTAATGATGATATGGCTTTTTTATAGTTTTTTTTTTCTGTTTGTTTGCACTTTCAAACACATAGTATGATTTTTTATTGACTGAGTCATGATTCTCAAAACTATGATTTTTTTCAAACCACCGATTCGGTGGTTTTAGGATGGTTTAATAATTTTTTCCCTTTTACCCTTAATATTTTTTATTATTTATAAAATTATCCTTCATTTTAAATCATTCTACCCCACACAAAACACTCTTCTTCTTCTATCTGACACTGATTCAAGAAGAACTGCCAACCTCGAGCCATAAATAATGGCCATCTCCGGCTTCTCTTTTTTGACCAAGTAACCAGAAATCGAGTTGGTAATGCAAATAGTTTGATTTCTCTCTTCATTTCTCTTTTCTTTTTCCCCTCATAGTTGTCATTCTCTAAATTTTTTTGATTTTATAATTTTCTGCAATTTCTTTAATTTAACTGTTTACTTTCAATCTAGTTTACTCTTTCTCCCGGTATGTGTTTTTCATTTTTTTTATCACTGTTTGTGTCTTGTTTGATTGCTATGAATATGTGGCGCTCAATTAGATTTGTTTGAAATTTGAAAAGAAAAAGGCATGTGCTCACGCTGCTGTTTGATTTGTAATAATTTTCTTTTTTTTTGTCTATTGCCAATTTGATGAAGCATATGAAAGAATTGGAATGTTGTTTCTCATCAATATTCATTTATTTTGTTTCTCTTGTGCCTCTTTGATTTGTAGCTTTCTCAACTTGTTAGGACCAGATGTTTATGGATCATTATGTGCTTTGATTTTCATTATGTTGCGTAGTTGTTTTGCTCGTGATTATTATCTTCTTTGCTAGGTGATTTCTCAGCGAGGATTTTTTAATAAGCTTTTTAGTCATTGATAAACCACTGCGAAACGCATTTTGATTTTGTTTGGATATCACTAATGTTCTTATTTGAGAATTTAAATACCATAGTTCTTAGGTTTACAATTTGCAGGTTGCTTTAACATTGGAGGTTCATAAGATTTGACATTGAGAACGTAATTTTGGTTTCTGAAATTGAAATTTGGAGATGAGTCAGAAAGGTTTAATATATAGTTTTGTTGTACAAGGAACAGTTGTTTTAGCATAACAAACATCATATTCAGGGAACTTTTGTGTATGAGAGGTGGGCTTTCTGGGTGCTTGTTTGAGGGTATGGATTTTGGGAATGGGGTGGTTCTGCTACGAGTGTGGTGAGAACTATAGCTCTTGTTATGCTTCTCTGCTCTGTTAGAATTCAACTCGATTATGTTAGAGTCCTTTTTATTTGTCTTTATTTTTTCCTTTATTTCTCATGCTAGTGGTTGTTCCCTCTTTGGTGGGCTACCATTCATGCAGTTTTGAAGTTTCTAGGGAGATTTTCAGTGCCCTTAGTGCATGTTGTTTAGCCAATGTTTTGTTCTCCAAAGTTCTACATTTATCTATGCGCTAAAGCTTCTTGTGTTTACTATATGTCTTGCTTCTTTGGGTGCTCTTTAGTTGATTAAAGTGTTTCATTATGCATTTATATGATGAAATTCTTGTAAAGTGTTTCTAAGTCAAGATTTTGCTGGATGACGAATATTATATTGAATTTGAATGCTTTCCTCATATATAAAAACCCTTCCACATGGTTAATTACCTCGTCAGTAGATACTCATTTGATATTTCATACCCATTTTTAGATGGATTGTACGAAACATATAGTAATGTTAGTGGGGGTTTTAGTGATGCTTGTAGGAATTTATATTCATAGAATGAGAAAACCTAGACATGTACATGAGTTAAGACTTGAAGGTGAGAAAGTTTAAGTTAAGCTCATGGAAAGTTTGGAGTGAGTTCTGTTGGCACATTATTAGGATGACAGCTCCATCATTTACGAAGTTATGTCATCTGCTAGTTACAGAAGGTGGACTTAGACCTACCATTCGTGTAACTATGGAGGAACAAGTACTCAAGACACTTTACTTATTAGGATACAATCAGAGAAATTGAGTCATGTCTTGGCATTTTCGACGATCAAGAGAGATGACAAGTTGTCATTTTCACAATGTCATACAATCTATAGTAAAACTGGCTGTTAAATACCTTAATAAGCCTGATGGATCGCGAGTGCATCAGAAATAGCCAACAATCCTAGATCCTTTCAATTTTTTAAGGTAAATATGCATTTTACTTGATTAAATTTTTGTAAATATATATAATTTTGTTTAATTAATGATCATTTAATTTTAGTATTGTGTTGGTGCGATTGACGAAACGCACGTACGTGTCAAAGTGTCCAAAGTTGATGCTCCAAGAATCTATTGGAGAAAAGATTTCCCCACATAAAATGTTTTGATGGCTTGTGCATTCGACTTGACTTTTTCATATGTCCTTGCTGGGTGGGAGGGGACCACATCAGATTTGAGATTAATGAAACATGCATTAACAAGACTTGATGATCCTCTAATAATTCTAGAAGTTAAGTAAAAAAGTTTGCATTTCAAAATGTAGTATATAAGTTTTTAAAAAAATTTTATAACTTTACATAATGTTTTCAGGTAAGTTCTACTTAATAGATGCTAGTTTTATGTTATAGGGTGGATTAATTACTCCATATAGGGGAGAACGGTACCACTTGAGTGAATACTCAAGGAAGCCACCACTATGCTCGTTAGTTATTCAATCTTCGTCATTCTTCTTTACGTAATGCGATTGACTGTGCCATCAGAGTTCTCAAAAAATGCTTTCCAATTATTTCAAGCACTAATGAACCACACTATCAGTTGAAGGCTATCAATCGCATTATATTTGCATGTTGTATTTTGTTTGCAGAAAGAGGATCCAAACAATGAACTTCTAAGAGAGGTTGATGAAAAACTTAGAAACGTTTCTCATGAGGAATGTATTCCATTTAGTGTTAGGGATAGCCATGAGGAAATAAGAAGGGGAGAAGCTATTAAGGATTTGATAGCAGCTGATATGTGTACTTATAATCGTTTATTACTTTATTATAGTACTTGTATTGTTTAAGAATTGTATTCTTCACAACTGTTGTATTTTGTACGAAATTACTATATTATATTGATGTTTTAATGGTAATATTTTGAATTTTCTGCTATTGTTCACGCTTTATATTTCAATGAAGTTCTGCTTATTGACAATGATAACTTTATCCACTGGACTAATGTTAACTTTGTTCTTAATGGTAACTTTATATTTCTTTGTTTTGTGGTTGTATAAAATAGGTAGTGGGAATAATTCTGCAGATTGAGTGGGTAACACTATCCACTAGAATAATGCATTGAATGATGCATTAGTAGAAGCATTTTACTCTCAACATTGTTTGGGTCGCAGATCAGGTGGAACATTCACCACACACTCTATTGATTGTATCGTTTCAGAGTTGAAGTGCGCCTAGCCAAACATGCCAATTGCAAAAGAGCGAGTCCACAATCGCATTAAAATTTTAAAAAGGCAGTTCTCAAAATGGTATGACGTATTCAAATATGGCTGAGTGGTTTTGCATGGAATCCGTTAACTGAAATATTTCAAGCTAAAGAGGAGGTCTGGCAACAACTAATAGAGGTAAATCAAAAAGTAAATCACATGTTATTTATAATACTTTATATAGTTTAAATATTAACATCATATTTTATAATTAGGATCATCTAAAAACAGCTGAACTTAAGAACAAACGGGTTCGAAATTACACCAAAATGTTGGAAATGTTTGGAAGAGATAGAGCTAACGGAGTTGGTTGTGAGACAGCACGTCCTCTTGAAGACAAAGGAACACGAATGTTAATACAAATGCAGTGCGAGTTAAGGATGTGATGAGTATGGGTCCCAAAAATATCGGTGTTAATATCAACGTCAATAGTGAGGAATCTTTCCATGATCATCCAATGCCTCAAACTCATACATTACAACCCAAAGGTAAAACTCCAAGTTGTTCAAGACCGAGCAAATCAATGATAATGCATCAAAATATCCTGAATTTCTTCCTCGGGAACACCTCCTTATTATTTGGTTAAAATTTGTATAAATTTGGTTCTTCCCAATAGTAGTATTTCACATCAGAAAAGAATTTCTTCTTTTGTTGATATGAAAAATTTGGAGGAACTATATTACATTGCAAGTAGTTCACAATGTCTACCTATCATAGTGCTTGAGCTACCATCATTGTAAAAAGTTGCTCATCAGGGAATGACTCATTGATGTCCACCTTATTCTCCTTGGCTTTCGTCTGCTCCAATCGCGATAAGTGATCTGCGAAAAAGTCCTTTGCTCCTTGCTTGTCTCTGATTTTAATATCAAATTCTTGCAATAATAAAACCCAATAGATTAGACGAGGTTTAACATCCTTTTTTGTAAGGAAATATTTAATTACAGAATGATCAATAAGAAATATAGTTTTAGCTCTAATGAGATATGATCTAAATTTATCAAAAGTAAAAATTATGGCGAGAAGCTCCTTTTCACTTATGGATAGTTAAGTGCACATCGTTTAACATCCTAGTAGAATAATAGATCACGTGCAATTTCTTATCCTTGCATTGATCAAACACAGGAGCAATAGCATAATCACTAACATCACACATAAACTCAAATGGCAAGGACCAATCTGGAGCTATAATAATTGGAGCTGAAATGAGTTCCTTTTTTAACTTATCAAAAGCACATAAACATTCTTTATTAAAATCAAATGATGCATCTTTAACGAGTAATTGATAAAAGGGTTTAGTAGTTTT